GGGTCCTAAATAAATTTCATCTCTGCTCATATGCAAAAGTACTCTTTCTGGCCTCCCTGGTGGCGCAAGGGGTTAAGACGCAACCCATGAAGCTATCTGCAGCCACTGCAGCAGGAGTTCGATCCCCAGCCGGAGAGGTTACTCACATGGTGCAGCAGACCTCTCCTGTCTTGCTCACTGCTCCCCTCAGCAGTGTATTTCAGTCAGTCTGCTTGTTCTGTTCCCACTCTGTCTCTGGTGAATCCTCTCACCCCATCCACTTCTGGCCTGTACCCCAGCTATTGTATGCATAAATAAATCAATCTTTAAAAAAAAAAAGTACTCTTTGAGGACAGGCATTTTAAGTTATGTAACAGACACATTCTTTCCTTCTTCTCTCAGAGAACTAAAGAAATCATAATGATTAGCTATGCACACAGTAGGTATTCTGAACTATTCACTGGACACAATGAATTTAATCCATAATAGAGAAAGGTATAAAATTAATAAAAACTCTTTGACAAAATTATAGGCCAGGGAAACAATTCCTTCCTTAAAGCTCAATTATAAAAGGTACTCATACAAACTGCTGCAGAAATGAATATTATCCACATATTAAAAACTTCATTCAGCAAACTAAATTTACTCTCTCAATCAGACATAAATCCATTTCCTGTGCAAGAAAATGAGCCTCTCAATATCTTATCATTATGAATTGTATTTCAGAAACAAAGGTTTGCATTACCCATTTTAAACCAATGTTCAAATTAACAAGCTCTCTAGAACTATAAGGCAAAATGTTCTATTGCCCAAAGAGATATAACAAAATGAATCATTAAGAAAATATCTGCAGATTACACAGTTTCTATAAATTGCGCCTTGGAACCTGCCACATTTAGCTTTAATTCAATCTTCTAATTTTTTTAATATGCATTTTCCAGCTTAAAAGTGCTGACTCACATATAAATAACTCCCAAGAATATCATCATCAAGTTAGCAAAGAGGAAAAGTGCTTGGGGAGGAGATTAAATCTAATCTGGCTGGTGAGGGGGGGAGCAGATTTCATCTTTCTCAGTTATAAGCTATACAACCTTACCAAGTTTTTAACCTCATCTCGCCTGTTTCCTTGCTTTACAAAATAACAATAAGGCTCTAAAAATGGCAGGACTTGGCAACTGATTGAATATGACTGAGAAAATATTAACGATGATCTGGGGTATTCTCACAGCTAGGTAAGCAGGGAGAAACATGAAGAGAGGGTTTGGAGCAACAAAGGGATAACAAGTGACATTTGGGTCCAGAGAGACAGAGACACCAAAAATGGATGGCCAAGCAGGAATGTGGGTTCAGACACAGAGAGATTTGTGAGGTGAGCCACACACAGATTTCTGGAAATCAAAGACATGACTAATATCAACATAAATTTTCAAAATAGTTTAAATGCTTTATTTGAAAACACAGCCAAATATGAATAAAGTAGAAAGGGAAGCAAATACACTTTAACCATTAACAAACTTTTCAAATTCAAATAAGAACTTTCCTAACACATCTTGAAGATACCAATACCATATCTCTGGTTTGACTCTAAATTTGAACAGTCACATCAATGAACCCCTTAAAATGAGAGGCATATTATCCTTCTTTATAATTTTTCACCAAAAAAAATAAATAAATAAGGTAAAGGTTCTCTCTTCAGGACCATCAGAAGATATATTTATGGTCAAGCTTTAGCTTTTAGCTCAAATTTACTTGGTAAAATTCCCATTTACCAAATTTACTTGGTAAAATTCCCATTGGTAAAATTCCCATTGTGTCAATCTTATAGTGAAAAGAATGTAAGTATTGAAGTTTTGCCAGATTGTTCTTGCTTTGCTCTCCCTGGGTAATTTCAGTGGCGTGCATTATTTCTTCCATATTAACTATCAACTCGCTTGATTTTTAACCAACTAGACTTGGTACCATGGTGTAATGGCAGGATTGACACAGTGCAGGTTTTCTAATCCAGCAGACTGGGTAAAGGAGGAGAGAGTCCTTGGAGTCCTCAGTGGCTTTTGCAGGCTTTATTGGGATTTACCAGGTACATGGCAGGTAGGGGTGCTGGCCTCCTGGCTCCCAGCAAGTCTTCACTCTATCTGGGCTCTCCGGCATTCTCTCGTGGCCTTTTCGTGGTTCTCATGATTCTCGTTCATTCTCTCTTGGCTTCTCTGCTTTCCTACTTCTGCTGGCATCCCCGTGACGCTGGCCTTAAAAGCCCAGTCTTAGCCCAGGTGAATCCCATCTACATATTTCCACACCCTATTCCAGGTGCCCGCCATCAGGCATGCATTCGGGACCACAGGGTTCCGTCATCCATCCTAATGGCGGGAGGGCAGAAAAGCCTGATACTTTTTATCTTACCCTACACCCTTCCAATGTTGTGAATTTCCCCTCTGATCAACACAGGAATCAGAGGAATACCTACTACAGAAACGACTCACTGAGTAAGAAAAGGATAGCTCATTCATTCATTAAATGAGGCTCTCAAAATTTCCATTAGTTCCAGGATTAGAAAGGCCCTCCCCATGCCACACCTCCTAGAGGATCATCACAGTTAAGTCCCACATAGCCACCTGATTCTCAATAGCTTTATCCATTTTGGTTTCCTTAAAACTACTCCACAGAAGCAAAAATAGCATTTTTTAAAGTTTATTTTCACTTTAAAATTTTAGCGTGCTTTTACTTAAATGAATCTTTTTAATTTTTAATTTTATTTTTTACATCATTGTTCATTTTTAAACAGTATTTGCTTCCCCCCACCCCCTCAGGTGTAGTCCCCATAGAGTTTCCTTCCCCAATGCACCCATGAACCATCACCTCTGTACCCTGTGCTCCTCCCTCCCTCCCTCTGATCCCGATCCCTCCTCCTCCCCTGCAGGATGTCTCTGATTTATAATTGTCTGTTTTTGCTTTGTTGTGTTTTGTACTGTTATTATTTTTTCACACTGATGTCTTATTTGGTTCCCCTATATTCCTGCTATAAGTGAAACTCTCTGATATTTAAATGAATTTTATTGCACGTCTCTCCCTCTCTATTTGCCAGCATTATAAACACCTGGTGCTAGCATTATAAACACCACCTTGCTAATTTCTCCAGAGCAAAAATTCTATCTTACATACAGTATGCAATCCCTGACCACAAAGCTGTGGCTAAATACATGCTTATAAAACAAATCCATGATGAAGAAGTCAATTAGATCAGTAAGTCCAAATCTTCATGATAATTTGAAAGATAAATTCTCTCAGCTGTGCTATGATAACGAGAGGTGCTGGTGGTGTAATCATCAGCTGGCTTCCAGAATTCCCTAAAGAATGATCCTTAAGCCTGGAATCCTGGTATGTCAGCACATTTAGGAAAATAATGGAGAAAATGAACACCAAAGACCAACTTTAACTTAACATTTCTATGCTCTCATTACCAATCCCCAAACCACAGGAGTATAAAACAAAAATGATCCTTTCATGCAAAAAGGTGGGAATACTAACCTTTACTGAGTCTATTACCACAGCTCACTGAGGGACTCTCATCCAGCTTTAGATCTATTTACTGAGATTTTTTTTTCCACCACAATCACTGATTTTGATAAGTTTTTGAAAATGAAACCAATTTTCATTTCTTAAACTGTAAGTTGCTCTCAATTTCTACCTTTAGCATCTGAAAATTACAAATTAGTTTCTTTCTAGTGCATAAGTTCTAAGAAGAAAGAGGGCTTTCTTATCTAGCACGTACTCTCTTCTTTATTTTTATCAGGAAACAGCCACACTCCAAGATTGTAGCCAAAGAATGCACAACAAATTCCTCAAGTGTCCACATCTCTACTATTATAATACAGTAGCTACTCACTGCATGTGTCCTTGGAGCACATGGAATGTAGCCAGTGTGAAAGGAGATGTGCTAGGGGTATAAAATACAAACCATATTTGTAAAGATGAGGACAAAAAAAAAAAAGAATATGAAATAGCCCATGGATAAAGGTTTTCCATTAATTACATACTGAAATAATATTTTGTAATTTGGGGGCCAAACAAAATATATTAAAATTAATCCCAACAATTTCATTTTACTTTTAAGGTAATTAATTTATGTAGCATACATAAATTTCTATGCTTCTATCATATTGGACAGTGCTAATCCAGAAAGACAATAAGAGACTTACAGAGACTTCATGCCACTGGAAGGAATGTTCACCAAAAGACAAACAGCAGGATCTGACTCCTAATTTCTCAATCTATAACTAGGGAAATGGGTTAGATTGTCTACAATGATGCGAAGGACAATTTCCCTTAAACACAACAGCACTGGGAGACAAACACATTACACTTGACCCTTGAACAACCTGGATTAAAGGTATGCACCTCTGGTACAGTCCATAAGAGTCAGCACTCCGTCTCCACTGTTTGTGTTTCCATGGATTCAACCAACCAACATGAACAGCTGGCTAGATCCTCAAATATGGAACCCACAGATAGAAGAAATTCCACATAAAAAAAACCTGCAGTCTTCATGTTCGTGTTGTTCAAGGGGAAGCTGTACTCTTGCTTTATTAGTTAGAAAACTGAGTCACAGACAGAAGAAAGCACTTATGTAAAGTCACAAAGCTAGAAAATGGAAACCAAATACTGAACTAAGTGTGCCTTCAAAAGGTATGTTCTTCCCCTTTCTCTCCTCTAGTCACTCAGAATTTTCCCCATGTTCTTTGAGGCTTAAAAACAAAAGTGAACATAGATAAAGGAGCTAGGTGAAAGGGTGACTGAGAAACTCAGAAAAATTCCTATGGAGTAACATCCCATATGTTGCTATCTTCTCTAAAAGATTAAATTTTTCCTAGTTGGGCTTTTTTTGTCTTTGCAATTCACAGTTCTCCACTGCATCTATTTCTGTTATCATAACCCACAGTACAGAAATTTAAAGTATAATGGGATACTGCTACCTGTGAATTCACTAATTGCGGCAAGCACATTTCATCTGCTATGAATCAACTTACTTAGTCTCTTAGCAGCCTCCAGAGCTTCATTTGCAGAGTCTACTACAAAGAATCTTTGAACTTTCACTCCATTGTCAGACATCAGTTTCTTGCTCTGATATTCCTGCAGGTTCAGCCATCGTCTGGGGGTTAACTGAAGTGCCTAGAGAAATTAGAAGAAAGAGGCAAGGACAATTCTGAATAACAAGAAAAATAACAGTCCACCAGTCTTATAGGGCCTCTCAAATGGCAATCAGCAACACAGATCTTAGAAAAGCAAAATCACATAAATTCTTTATATTTTATTGCTTCTCTAATCAAAACATGTTAAGGAGAACAACGTGTGCACACACAAATGATGCAGACCTTTTAAAATGTAAGAACTGAATAATGTCTACAGTTAACAGGAATGTACTGTCATCATTTCCTAGTTTTGATATTGTTCTAAAATTTAAATTTAAGATATCAAACATGAGGAGAAGATGGGTGAAGTATGCATGGAACTGTTGAACTGTTTTTGTAGTTCCTGTGAGTCTATAACTATTTCAAAATGAGGAGTCATTTAAAAAAATGTTAAGGATTCCATTATATAGTGTATTCCTTCCCTGTGCCCCTCCTCACCCACAAATAAAGTACATAGCATTATTCTAATATCTGTAATCACACTGTTAATCACAATATGGTATCTCAGGAAAACTTTTTTTTTTATCACTTTGAGGTCAATAGGCAAAAGACTAATAGCTTTACCTCAGTATTAATGGAGTCTAGATACAATCATTCTACACTTAATAAGATTATCTCTTCTACACACTAAAGTTGAGTGTAGTAACCTGAATCACCATTAATTAAAACAGTTCACACAAACTGCAATATATAAAAATCACCTTGTTTAAGTATCATATAGAAGTGGCTTTCCAATAAGCTCTATAAATTACTTTTAATATATCAAAAACTAATCAAAAAACTAATCAAAGGACAAAATAATATCAACCAAAAAATTCTTCTCATCATTTCTGATAAGATTAACAGCGTTCCCTATCAAATCCATAAGCCCCATTTTTAAAAGGAAAAAATGAATATAATTAAAATCTTTTCCATCCATGAGTCATGACAAAAAGAAACCACTAATTGCAGGAGGCAGGATGATGATACCATTGTCATATATATATACACCAAAAAATCAGTCACACAACTGGATCACAAGACTGGTAGGGGAACATCACCTGAGACACCTTCTGTCAATGGCCTCGGTGGATGTCCAAGGCAGTGTCATATAAACCAGCAACTATGAGGCTCACACAGCTTTACACATGGAACCATTTACCTCCAGGCCCTCTAATATGTCCTTCAAGTGGCATTTTCTCTGGGCTCATGGCTCTCTTTAGGACAAAGGGCCCTCCAAAGCAGCTCCAGAATCTTATAATGGTACATGGATCTAATCAAGGGCACAGAATATCTTCAGCATTGTGTATTTTTATGAAAAACGTGACCATGATAGGATTATGGAAGATATGCAGAAGATACCAGAAGATGAACAAATGAATAAACCCTCCCTTTTGTACTTTAGTTTCCTGACACAGATTAACTCCATTTCTAGAAACTGACCTTCCCTTAAAATTAGAATAGTTCTGACCTGAAATAAGTATCACATAACTTACACACACTGGTAAAAATAAATAAATAAATAAATAAATAATAACACTAAGGCAAAAGGTATCTTTCTGGTCCATTTTTATAAATATCAGTAGTAATGATGTTTTTAATATCTATCTTTCCTGTACTACTTCTTTTTCATTAAAACTAGCGTAAAAATAAATTGCCACACAATGCTCACATCATTAACTGTGTATAATTTATTAATCTTACTTTTGACATTTTATTTCTTGATAAAACATAACTAATCTGAAAACACATTTCAAAAATGAACACACTCATCTTAATATCTTAATAGCACATCACTTAACACAGCAAGAAAAATGCAAGTTTAAGGTATTTCATAAGAGCCTTCTAATGAAAGAAAAGATTAAAAGTTAGTTATGTGCCATATTCTGGGACCACATTTAGAAGGCAAGTGAGGAAGGATCAATAGGTTAACTTTACGTTGACATCCCAATTTAAAGGCAATAACAGAAGAATAAAAAATTATGGTTTGAAAAGAACATTGGAGAAAAACTAAAAACAGTCACAGTGTGCTCATGGTTAATTCCTTTTTACCAGAACGCCGAATATATTCATTTTAGATATGTTAATGTAATCTGCTGCAAACTAATTGCAATTGATCCAGAGACTAGCTTCATAGACATATAATACATATTGACTGTTTCTGCACTGTCTCAAATGAAAGTCTGCTTAAAGCCTATTGCTGTTAAATTGAGAACCAACACAGTGAACATAGTTCTAAAGCCTCTGATACCAGAGCTATCAATCTACTGGAGATCATCTTAAAAAAAAAAACAAGTCACCTATCTTTGCAAAGGCTGTAGGAAGAGGGCCCCTAATATGTCCAAAACTTCATAAACTCAATTTTATTTATTAGGGATCTGTGATCATTCTAGAAAGGAAAACTTAAATTTACTTGTACATTTTTATGGGAAAGAAAAAAAGGATAAGAAAACGTGCTAAGTAAATGGAGAGTGTGAAGTGTGCTGGTAATGTAATCAACTGTGGAATAATAACAATATTTCCATCTACTGTTGATTGCACATTTTACCTATACTAGGCACTCATTTTATCTAATGGTCGAGACATTCACAAGGAATCAATATTACCTTTCTCTGTAGCCGTTGTTAATGCAAGTCAACAAAAATTCCTAACTTATCACCTTCCGGGCACTTCCTTGCCTAACCTTCAGTAACATGAGGCATGTAACTAGTTTCAGCTAATGAACTGTGAATATATGTGGTATGTGGCACATCTGAGATAATATTTGATGGTCATCTCTCCTACCACATCCAAATTCTCCTTCTTTTACCCACAGAATTACTACATCCAAGATGGCAGCTGAGCCTTCAGTCCAGAAGCAGAGTGAGAACAGACACACAGATACCTCCCCAGGTGACTCCATGAATACCTAGTGAAAGCAAAGCCATATGGATTTTTAGCCACTGAGATTCAGGGGGATATTTGTTCTGTTGCGGAACCTATGCATTCTATCACACCTAGTCCATCCTGACTAATGAAACTATCTTACATATTACAAAACTCACTGCGTTTCTGAAGGTTAACTGACTGGCTCAAGTTAACTGGCACAAGATCACTGGTAAAATCAAAGCTTTTTTGATTACTGTTATCAATCAACTTAACACAGTTGATTCCCTTAATTGTATTCTGACCCCACATTCCCAGAGTCCTCTTAGTGATGAAGACTGACACTGGGATAACTAACCATATTTCTGTCTTCAAATGGCCAAATGTCTACCAGCAATAGGACTCTCATGAAATGTTGGCAGAATGCTTGAAAAGAAACGTGTAACTGCTGCAAGCTTTGAGAGCAAAGGAGGCAGATGGAGAAGCGAGAAGATGCTGGCCTAAGGCACTAGAATGTTACAAGGAGCCTATTTCACCTCCAAAGAAGAGTACCTATTAAAACCCAAAACTTCACATGTCAGCAGTCTCCCAAGGAATTCCTCAACTCTGGAATATGAGTGGCAAATGAGAATTTAAAGTTTTTCTGACCCAGAGTCACCCAACTATTTCTGCCACTTTTACCTGCTTGCCTTCAGATCATTCATTCTCTGCACTAACCAGCTTGTGTCTAGATTTAAAACTGTTCAGAGACCAGACTGTGAGAGGAAGACACCAGTCTTTGTCTTTCTTTCTCTCTCTGACTGGCTGGCAACTCTGGCACGGAGTGCTTCTCCTATGTAGCTCCAGCTTCAGACAGCCCTTCCTCAGCCCCTTACCCGCACCCCCCACCCCCGCCGCCCCAGCTGTAATTCCGCACCCTCAGCTAGCCCTGGCCTCATGACAACAGCTACTTTCACTCCCAAGGGGCTAATAGAAGATTCCTGCTATCCCCCAGTGATAGATATTGCCTCCCCGACCGCCTACATGTCTTCCAGCATTTCCAACACCTTTGCAGCTAAAGGTCTTCCCCCACTGATTCTATTAAACAAACTGGTGCTCTAGAAGGAGTCCCCTTAAGGCATAAGAAGGGAAAAGGAGTGGCAATGATCCACCTGTGAAAGCGACTCAGGGACCCTACTCTGCAGCAGTTTTCAGACAGTCACAAGTCTCACATAGTTGAGTCCAAGGAATGAAAGGATTACTGGGGTTCAACCTCCTCATTTTAGTCAGGAAGCAGGAGGCCTAAGGAGGGGAAATAATGTGTCTAGGGATCCTACAGCAAGTCAGAGGCCAGATGAGAACTTGATTAATTCCAATTTTCTTTCCTTCTTTAATACTTATTTAGGCAAAGTGACTATCTTTGGAACAGCATCATTTTCTCAAAACAGCTGGGGAGGCAGGCACCTAGGTTTAGTTCCTTCTGGGGGTGTATGCTGACCTCTCCACTGCTCTTCCATTCCTTCTTTCTTTGACAGAACAAGCATTTCCAGCTTGGAATGGAAGAGGAAAATGTAACTTAAAAGAAAAAAGCAGCACATAAAGATTTAAGGACCTGTGGGAACAAGGGAGCAGAAGCAGAAGAAAAAGCATGAAAAAGGAGAGAAAAGACAAAGAACCAAGAGATAAAAAGATAATGACTAAGCAAGCAAAAGTTCTCAAGAAAACTCAAAGCACGAAATTAGATAGTTACACAGAAAAAAAAGACACGATCGAGAAGTCATCTTCGCCCCATGGTTTTAAAATTAGAGGTGTAGAGACTACCGAAATAGCACCACAGGAGGAAAACATCAATAAAGGGAGTATAGAAGGAAATGTCATCGAGCTGTGCCCCGCAAAGGGAGGCTCCATGAGCAAAGTCTGCCCACTGGCTCTCTGCACTTCCTCTTCCTCTGCCGTCCTTCCACAGAGCTACTGCTTCACTCAGGAAGTCTAAAGGAACAGCAAGGAGACTCACTCTTTTTTTTTTTTTTTTAAAGATTTATTTATTTATATAAGCACTGGATACAGTCAGAAGCGCAGGAGGGTGAGAGAACTCACCAGAGCCAGAGCGGGGAGCAGAGCAGGCAGAGGGTCCGAAGTACACTGCTGAGGGGAGCA